GAGTTTGTTCCAGATCCATGGCATAATGCTGCGGGGGTTTGTTTTCCCGATCCATGGGCATAGATTCTGCTGGGAGTTTTGTTCCAAAACCATGAGCATAGATGTGCTGGGGTTTGTTCCAGAACATGGAACATGATGTTGCTGGGGTTTGTTTTAGGTCCCGGAAAAATAGATGCTGCTGGGGGTTTGTTCCAGATCCAGGAAAAATAGATGCTGCTGGGGGTTTGTTCAGATCCAGGAACATAGATGCTGCTTTTGGGGGTTTGTTCCAATCCATGGGGGCATAGATTCTTGGGAGTTTTTCCCCGATCCTGGAGCATGATTCTGCTGGGAGTTTGTTCCGATCCATGGAACTTTGATGCTGCTGGGAGTTTGTTCCAGCCATGGAGGATAATTCTGCTGGGAGTTTGTTCCCAAACCCTGGAGCATAGATTGTGTGGGGGGTTTGTTTTCCCGATCCGGGACCCTAGTGCGTGGGAGTTTGTTCCAATCCAGGAAAATAATGCGCTGGGGTTTTTCCCAAACCCCGGAGCAAGATTTTTGCTGGGTTTTGTTCCCAAACATGGAACATAGATGTGCTGGGAGTTTTGTTCCAGACCATGGAGCATAATTCTGCTGGGGGTTTGTTCCAGATCCTTTGGGGATAGATTCGTGGGAGTTTGTTCCAGATCCTTGGGGAAATAGATGCTGTGGGAGTTTGTTTTTTTCCCGATCCATGGACATAGATTCTGCTGGGAGTTTTTTTTTAGATCCATGGAGCATAGATTTTTGTGGGGGTTTTTTCCAGATCCAGGAGCATAGATTCTGCTGGGAGTTTTTCCAGATCCATGGAGCATAGATTCTGTGGGGTTTGTTCCAGATCCTGGAGCATAGATTCTGCTGGGAAAATTGTTTCCAGACCACGGAGCATAGATTCTGCTGGGAGTTTTTTCCGATCCGTGGAAATTGATGGTGCTGGGGGTTTTGTTCCCGATCCCCTGAAATAGATGCTGCTGGGGGTTTTTTCCAGTTTCCTGGGAACATAGATTCTGTGGGGGGTTTTTTCCAGATCCAGGAGCATAGATTTTGTGGGAGTTTGTTCCAGATCCGTGGGGGATAGATGCTGGGGGAGTTTGTTCCAGATCCCCTGGAACATAGATCTGCTGGGAGTTTGTTTCCCCCGATCCATGGAGCATAATTTTTGCTGAGAGTTTGTTCAGATCCATGGAGCATAGTTCTGTGGGGAGTTTGTTTTCCAACCATGGAACAAGATGCTGGGGGATTTTTCCGATCCAGGAGGATGATTCTGCTGGGGGTTTGTTTCCCGATCCATGGAGCATAGATGCCCCGCTGGGAGTTTTGTTCCAGATCCGTGGAGCATAGATGCTGCTGGGGTTTGTCCCCATCCATGGAACATAGATGCTGCTGGGGTTTTTTTTCCAGAACCATGGAGCATAGAATCGCTGGGAGTTTTTTTCAGTTCCCCCCTGGAGCAAATGTGCGGGAGTTTGTTCCCGATCCGTGGCATGTGCTGCTGGGAGTTTTTCCAGACCTGGAACATTTGATGCTGGGGGTTTGTTCCAGACCCCCTGGAAAATTTGATGGGGTGCAGTTTGTTCCAGATCCATGGAGCATAGATTTTGCTGGAGTTTGTTTTTGATCCATGGAACATAGATGTGCTGGGGTTTGTTCCCGATCCATGGAGCTAGATTTGGCGGGGTTTGTTCCCCGATCCTGGAGATAGATTTTGCTGGGAGTTTGTTCCGTCCATGGAAAATAGATGCTGTGGGAGTTTGTTCCGTCCCTGGGGCTGATTCTGCTGGAGTTTGTTTCCCGATCCATGGAGATAGATTTCTGCGGGGTTTGTTCCAGATCCATGGGCTTGATTCGCGGGATTTGTTCCAGATCCATGGAGCATAGATTCTGGCTGGAAGTTGTTTTTCCCGATCCTGGAGATAGATTCTGGGGGGAGTTTTTTTTTTAGATCCTGGAGCATAGATTTCTGCTGGAAGTTTTGTTCCAATCCCCGGAGCATAGACTGCTGGAATTTGTTCCAGATCCGTGGAGCATAGATGCTGCTGGGAGTTTGTTTCAGATCCGTGGAGCATAGATGCTGCTGGGAGTTTGTTCCAGATCCATGGAACATAGATGCTGCTGGGAGTTTGTTCCAGATCCATGGAGCATAGATTCTGCTGGGAGTTTGTTCCAGATCCGTGGAGCATAGATGCTGCTGGGAGTTTGTTCCAGATCCGTGGAGCATAGATGCTGCTGGGAGTTTGTTCCAGATCCGTGGAGCATAGATGCTGCTGGGAGTTTGTTCCAGATCCATGGAGCATAGATTCTGCTGGGAGTTTGTTCCAGATCCGTGGAGCATAGATGCTGCTGGGAGTTTGTTCCAGATCCGTGGAGCATAGATTCTGCTGGGAGTTTGTTCCAGTTCCATGGAACATAGATGCTGCTGGGAGTTTGTTCCAGATCCGTGGAGCATAGATGCTGCTTCTCCATGTTTGGTTCTAGTTCTAGGTGGACAGAGGAGCTGGAACTAGAAGACCTGAGTGGTCTGTGAGGTAGATCCACTAACAACAGATCTATTATGGATTGAGTTGCTGATCTATTCAGTGATTTCTAGACTAACAGAAGGATGTTAAAGTCTATTCTCTGAGCTACAGGGAGCCAGAGGAAGGACTTCAGAACCGGGCTGAAGTGATCTACTTTCTATAGTTCTAGTGAGGACGCAGGCAGCAGCATCTGGATCAGCTGTCTGATCTACTTTCTATAGTTCTAGTGAGGACGCAGGCAGCAGCATCTGGATCAGCTGTCTGATCTACTTTCTATAGTTCTAGTGAGGACGCAGGCAGCAGCGTCTGGATCAGCTGTCTGATCTACTTTCTATAGTTCTAGTGAGGACGCAGGCAGCAGCATCTGGATCAGCTGTCTGATCTACTTTCTATAGTTCTAGTGAGGACGCAGGCAGCAGCGTCTGGATCAGCTGTCTGATCTACTTTCTATAGTTCTAGTGAGGACGCAGGCAGCAGCATCTGGATCAGCTGTCTGATCTACTTTCTATAGTTCTAGTGAGGACGCAGGCAGCAGCGTCTGGATCAGCTGTCTGATCTACTTTCTATAGTTCTAGTGAGGACGCAGGCAGCAGCGTCTGGATCAGCTGTCTGATCTACTTTCTATAGTTCTAGTGAGGACGCAGGCAGCAGCGTCTGGATCAGCTGTCTGATCTACTTTCTATAGTTCTAGTGAGGACGCAGGCAGCAGCGTCTGGATCAGCTGTCTGATCTACTTTCTATAGTTCTAGTGAGGACGCAGGCAGCAGCGTCTGGATCAGCTGTCTGATCTACTTTCTATAGTTCTAGTGAGGACGCAGGCAGCAGCGTCTGGATCAGCTGTCTGATCTACTTTCTATAGTTCTAGTGAGGACGCAGGCAGCAGCATCTGGATCAGCTGTCTGATCTACTTTCTATAGTTCTAGTGAGGACGCAGGCAGCAGCGTCTGGATCAGCTGTCTGATCTACTTTCTATAGTTCTAGTGAGGACGCAGGCAGCAGCGTCTGGATCAGCTGTCTGATCTACTTTCTATAGTTCTAGTGAGGACGCAGGCAGCAGCGTCTGGATCAGCTGTCTGATCTACTTTCTATAGTTCTAGTGAGGACGCAGGCAGCAGCGTCTGGATCAGCTGTCTGATCTACTTTCTATAGTTCTAGTGAGGACGCAGGCAGCAGCGTCTGGATCAGCTGCAGTCTGATGGACTTTTTAGGCAAACCTATGAAGACTCTGCTGCAGTGATCAATTCTACCATAGATAAATGCATGAAGGAGTTTTTCTAGATCCTGCTGGACATTAGTCCTTTAATCCTGGAGATGTTCTTCAGGTGATTAAAGGCTGATTTAGTTCCTGCCTTTATGAGCCTCTGAAGGTTCAGATCTGACTCCATCACTGCACCCAGATTTAGAGTCTGATTACTGGTTTCTAGCTGGATTAACTGAAACTAGGTTTGCTTTGCTTTGGTCCACAGTTTAGTTTTAATTAAGCAGAAAATTAGTCCATATCCTTGCTTTGATTTGTTCTATGGATAACTGCTGGTTATTATTATCTAATTTAGGGGGAGCATGTAAATATAAATTAGGGGGGGGGGCAAAAACTCACCCTTGGGATTTTTTGGCTTCTGATTTAAAGTTATCTACTGAAACCTTCCCTCATTTTGTTTATTTTAAAGCGGCCGTTTATACTCTGTTCTGATCAACCCATAAAAAGCATTTTCTTTTTACAGTCAATGCACCATGTAAGATCAAATAGAAAATAAGGTTACAATGAAGAAATAATCCACCAGATTTAACTTCCATTAATTTTTAGTTCCTGAAACTATGAATCATTTAAATTCCAAGTTTTACGGTCAGTTGTTTATTCTTTCCTTTTTAAAGCTTCTACTGTTGATAGTTAAAACATTTTCTTCTCCAGATTGAAACCAGCTCCTCCAGAATGTGTTGATATGTCCTTTGAAAAGGTGTGAACAGAGTGAAAAGCGAGGATGTGCTTCAGCCTCCATAATACCTTCGCTGTCTGTAGAAAGCAAAGATAGGTTTGCAATCTCAGTCACCAACTGTGAAGAGATTACAGCAGCTTTAACATGTGAGAAGGGAGCAGTTGCTGAGCTGCAAAGACCTGTCCTGAAACCAACTGTAAAAACATTTCATTTACTCTTTCTGGAGATTCGCACGTTATTGTAGAAACGGATTTCTGCTGCTTCACAGGATGCGATGCTTGAGGAGCGAGAACGAAGATCTCAGCGTCGCTCCCGAAGGCTTCCTTTGTTTTGAAAAATTTTACTAAAACATTTGGAGGATAAAGGCGAAGAATTACAAACGGAGAACGAGATGATAGAAAGTTTTAATTGATTGTGGGAAAGTTAAATGTTACCTGATCACTGATTAAACTTTCATTTTGTCTTTTTTTCTTCTTTACTTTTTTATTTTCATCGGATCTAACCATCTCTGTCTGTCTTTTATTTACAGCGTATCCATTGGGATCAGTTATGTGTTGGCTGGCAGCGAAGCCTTTGCTGCCCTCCTTCATATCAGGTGAGTTTTTAATGAAGAAAGAAATGTGAATTTTCTCAATTAAGGAACATTTTATCAAACCCAAAATCAGACAGCAATCAGAATCACCTTTAATCTCTTAATAGATTTATTTTCCAGTTCAGCATCAGTTAATCAACTTAAAGGAGTTCATCTCGCTGTGTTAAAGCAGCTGTGCAGGTTAGATGAACAGAGCGCTAAGGTTTCCTCTCCAGGCTTTCTTTAGAGTCCATCATAAATAAATAAACATTTCTCGGCTTTTCCTAAACAGATATTTGAGATGTAAAGTAATTAGATATTTAAAAAAATATGTGATTGTAAAATTAACAAAATGGCTTCCCCAACGTCTGCTTTACCTATCTACTGATCAAGTGATGATAACATTACATGAGGTTGCAGCATAAAATCCATAAATTCTTAAACATTGTTGTCTGAAGTATATTGACAATAAAAGGATAAGGAGATGAGAAAGTAAACGAATGAAAGAACTGAGCACTGTTTTAGGCTGCAGAGGTGAACTTTCTTAAAACAAAATAGAAGACAGAAAATAATGTTGACGAAAGATAAAGTGGGAAATGCACCTGAGTGAAGTTGGCCCCCCCACCTTCTTCAAATCAGACAAAATTGGTGTCAAACGTTTGTGCAGCAATAATTTTCCTTTGTGCCGCTATCGTTTTAAAGATATAAAGAAATATTTCTAGAGGTCATCAAAGGTTAACCAGTCCCCCCCCCCACTTTATTCAAATTAGCAAATCCAAAGCAGCACAAACGAAAATTATTGCTGCACAAACGGAGCACAAAAGTTTGACACTAATTTTGTCTGATTTGAAGGGGGGGGGGGGGGGGGGGGGGGGGGGGGGGGGCAACTTCACTCAGGTGGGAAATGCTGCTAAAGAGGTTTGTGAGTTTTTTTAAAGAGTGTGCAAACAAAAATATTTTTGCATCCAAAAGCTCGCAGTAAAAAGTGATGTCTTGCACAACTATAAGCGTTTATTTCATTAGAAATAGTGTTGATTTCCAGCATCTTAACCAGTCCTATCCAGACTGAGCAGCAAACCTGCTGCTAATAATGAGTTTTATATCAAACCTTTTTCATTTAGGCGATGAAACTAACAAACTCCATAAAAAAAATAAAAACCATGGCTCTTCTGCTTTGAATAGAATGAGCCGTTTCAAGGATGGTCCACATCTCATGGGACACTGTTGATTCATTATGGCAAAGTTATTCAAGGTTTATAAAGGATGTAGTTTTTAATGAATTCATTTACAACCATTTCACGGTTAACACAATTAGTTTGTTTTAATTGAATGACGGTTAACATGGAGGTCCCCGTTAGTTAATAACAGAACAGACACCTTGTCTTTACAGAAAGGCTCCTCCTGGTTGTATTTGGGTAACAGCTGTTCTGCTCTTTATTCACCAGGTACATCAATTAGCAGCGGCAGATTTAGACAGACGGAGGTCACAGTTTACTTCACTCATGGCGGGAAAAAAAAAAAGGGTCCATCTGTAACTGTGATTTTGATTTTCTCTACTATAAACAAACGGCTCTATAATAGTTTCCTTTCACATCTGGCTGATCAGCTTTCTGGTTTCTGTGGACCTTGTGGCCGATGTTAGACCAGATGTTGCATCATTTAAAAAAAGAGTCCAGCCAACATTGAGGCTTCATAAGAATCTGGGAAATCCTTAAATGTTGGATGATTTCTGAATGTTGGAATGAAAATATCTTTAATCACAATCATCCCTCCTACCTTTATCATCTCAGCCACGATAGATGCAGCTGTGCTTTAAAGTTTACACACCCTCCCATTAAAGAAAATGATAAATTCACACCATTAATTCAAATAACACAATAATTTATCATTTAGAAACAGAAAATACTGATTTTGAAAGCTACTGCTCACATTATGTAGGTTTATAAATCATTTTTTTATTAGTACAGAAAAGATGTGAGGAAATATTGGTAAATATTCAGCTCTACTGTTTTGGATAGATGTTAGTTAGATTAGAGTCCTGCAACAGGTCGGGTACCCGCGGGTCCCCGACGGGTCACCCACTGAAATGTTCTTTTGCGGGTGAAAAATACATAAATAAAAATAAACGGGTCTGGCTGATATTTTTTTAGTGCAGGTAGTTGGTGATTTTTTTTCTTATGCGTGTGTTGTTATGGACATCAGAAATGTTCTATTAATCAGGCACTGGGGTCACCCTTGTTGTAGCTTAAAGCCCTGCCGGCAGTGTGGGCTTCCCTCCAAAAAGGCCACAGTCAGTGCAAACACGTCTGCTGCAGTGTTAATGGCGCTGTTCTGCAGCGCAGCGCACTATAGCCTACTGTATTACTTGATGTGTTAACGGGTCGGGTTGCGGGTTAAATATCGTCAGGTGGGGTTCGGATTTGAATTGAAGATATCCGTGGGTGACGGGTCGGGTTCGTTAGTCATCCTAACAGCTTCGGACGGGTGCGGGTTGGTAAAACTCGACCCGTGAAGGACTCTAAGTTAGATTGACATGTTTCAGAATGATAGAAGCAGCTGCTCAATGTTTTCAAAGTGACTTAATATACAGCGGCGGTTAATGATTTATTACAGCAGCAGCCATTCAAAACGGCCCTTCCCAGTCCAACGGCAGCCGAATGGCGGCCCATTTCCCTGCAGCTCCCAGCAGAAGCCCCTCCAACTCCCAGACACTGCAGTGACCCCGTATTGCATATATTTTAGTCTGACTCCCCCTTTCACTGACTTACAGCGTCTGACCAGGAGATGGCGCTTCTCTGTAGATCTGAATGTCCACAAATCATGACAGGAAGAATATTTAGGTACAAAGATTGATGTATAAAAATAAATTGCAGAGGACCAGCCAAGGACCAGCCAAGGACCAGACAAAGAAAGTGGGGAAATTGTAAATGGCTAATTCTTCAAATTCAAGCTTATTTGAGGATGAAAACGTTTCATAATCTGTTTAGCTGCCTTACTCCTATAACTCCCAGACTCCACATCCTCCATCAACCCTCCGCCCCGCTCACGTACGTGGTGCGGAGCACGTGTGCTGTCGTATTTATCAATGAAAACTGTTCCCCACACTGCAAAAATTATCTAGAAATAAGTCAAAACGTCTTAAATTAAATGTATTTACCATTAATTTGAGTAGGTAAATAAGATTAATTGCCAATGGGATGAGGAAATTTACTCTTAAAATAAGATAATTAGATAATATACACTTGAAATAAGACAATTAATTGTTTTTTTTTTCATATTTTAAATGTAAATTGTCTTATTCCATTGGCAAAGTGTCTCACTTACCCCCTAAATTCAAGAAAAAATGCACTTATTTTAATAAATAATCCGCTACTCATTTGTACGTCACCGTCCGCGTACGTCTTCTCAGTCCGTCGCTGCTCCGGCCGGGTCAAAATCCACCGTTGTTATCGCGCCAAACAGGAAGAAGAACAGTGAGAAGATCTGGTTTGTCAAATTCAAATATTGCAACGATAGATTGGTAACTACAAATTAGAGCATAATTATTATATATTCCAAAATATAAGACTATTTAATGAAATTATTGAATGCAAACTATTGGTACGTCAACAAACCAGGAAGCAGATTTCTCATCTCCATCAAAATATTTATTTCATACCAAGAGGCTTAAAATTTACATCAAATCGATTCACAACAAATTTCCAAGAGCGCATCTCACAACTTCTTTTATGATTGAACATTATTGATCTTACATTGGAGAAATTCACTCTTTTCATTTAACCCATCCCCTCCATCCAGAGTAGAGGAGGCTGAGATGGTCTTTGCTGTTTTAATGGTGAAGCAGAAGGTAAAAAAACATAAATCCAGAAATAACAGGCCAGGAACTCAGGAAGCAAAAACTAGAGAAGCTCAGGAGAAACAGACAAGAAGAAATGAAAAGGATCCAGCACTGAGGGACTGCAGAGGAGTATATATGGGAGACAGAAAGGAATGGGACAGTAGGGGGCATCAAAGAGTAACCAGGTAAAACAGGACTCTTAACTGGAAAATAACTTAAAAATAAGACTAAAGTGGAATAAAACTAATAACTTCAAAATAAGGAATAAACGAGGGGAAAGCTAGAGGATAAAGGGAACTGGAGATAACTGAAGCCATGAAAAACCTAAACTAAAGATAAAAGGATGAATATTTCACCAAAACTAGACCTAGAATAAATTATAGCGAAAATGCTGAAGAGAAATAACAAGAAAGAGTAAAACTAAGATGATGTTAATATGTTTAAATCTTGCGTCAGAATATTATAAATAAAGCATAAACCAAAATGAAATTACACAGAACCAAAAAGTCCGAGGGGCCGATTATGACATCGTTTTAAAAAAACTGAAATAAAAGATTTTTAGCTTTTTTAAAAACCCATAACATATGAAGATGACCCTGTAGAGGAGACTCTGAGAAAAGCTGCATGGAGCCGTTTTTAAAGAAACAATAAAAAGACTTTTTTAGCGAAAAGAGACGGGGAAAATACCCCACTTTGTGTTTTTTTTATTTCTATGATGATGTGATGGAAAAAAGGGCTAATCACAGCCATGCTCTAATGGTTTTTTATTATTCTGTTTTTTAAAAAACCCTGTTTGTCGGGTTTGCCCCTTTGCTGGGGAAAAGGGGAGCTTAGGCAGCTCAGAAAGCTTTTGAATTCGACCTAAAGACACCTTTGATGCTGAAATTAGACGCTAATTTTGGGAAAAGCAAATGAACTGTGGTTTACACATATGAGCCGGCTGCTTCAGTTTTTGTTGACAGAAAGAAATCCTTTCATTTCAAAGTTTAAAGAGTACATGGATATACAGGTAAATGAATGTAACTGTATTTCTTAGGAGCAAAGAAAAAAAATCTAAGTCATAATGAAATATACAAAATACATTTTTTGTATATTTTTTCTGTAAAGTTGCAATTACAATTTGTCTTTTATTCTTCTGAAAAAAAAAAACAAAAAAAATATTAACTTCAGTAAAACAAATTTTCCCCGCTTATAAAGCAGCATGTTTTTAAATCAATCGTTATTGAGCCTTTATTTATTTCGTATTTTTTTTAAATTTTATGGCAGAGTTGGTCCTCCGAAACCCCCACCTCACCCAAAAGGGAGGGGTCTCGGGGGTTTTAAAATTTATTGAACTTTTTTTAATTGTGATTATTTTTCCCAAAATGAAAATATTGCGCACCCCTTCTGGGGACAAGGTTTTCAAGCATTAAAACAACGGAAAACCAATGCTTCCATTTTATGAAGCCCAACTAAAGTCCCAGGGTTAAGGTGTTATTAATTAAATTTTTTTTTTTGCGTTATTTTTTGGTTTGTTTTAACTGAATCTTAAAAAAGGGGAGTTTTTGTGTGTTTAGGTGGCTTCCCCTTTTTTTTTTTCCCAAGTGACTAACTTTTAAGGAGCGGTGTTACTGTATTAAAAAGTGGTTTAAATGTTAAACCTAAAAATGCAGTACCAAAAAAGTGAAGTGGGTTTAAACTCACGTTGGGATTATTTGGGCCCCGGTTCTGTTTTTTCAAAATCTCCCCCTCCCGGTATAATTATTTTATAGAAACGGGGAATTTTTTTGTTTTTTGCCCAGAAAATTCCTTTCCCCAAAAATTATTTATTCACACTCTGCGGGAGGTGGGATGCTTCTTGGGCACGCTCGGGTGCTTATTACAGCATGCTTGCGCAGGGGAGATCAGCGATTTGTTGTGGGAGTGGGAAGGCGGGTATTGGAAGTGAAAAAAACTTGGGAGGTCCTTCGGAAAAAAAACCGTTTTTTTCCCGCTTTTGGAAGGGGGAGTCAGCAGTGTACAGGTTTTTGTGCGAATCACCGCCCCCCCTGATCCCCCCTCTTTAGGGCGGAAACCCCCTGGCGCAAATCCCAGAGCTACAGAGGATGGAAGTATTCTGAGTGGTTTTACCCCTGACCACCACTTACTTGATTTAATTGGTAGTGAGTTTTAGATTTTAAAAGTCGGGTTTTCCCAGAGCCTGAAATTAAAGGATTAGGAAACAATCTTTTAACCAGCAAATACAGTTAAATTCCTGTGTTTATTTAAGATAAACCGGGGGCTTAGTTATCTCAAAAGAAGGTGGGAAATTTGTAATTTAAATCCCTTTAGCTTTAGCAACATAAATTTTTTATGCTTTTCGATTCATGTTTTTGTTTTTGAAACAACTTGTTGGTGTTAAATCAAAAATTTTGTAGGAGGGGCTTCAAATGTTATCAATGTGTTTTTTGATTGTATTTTAAAATTTTATTCAAAGCTTTACGTGTATAATACCCAGTTTTTGAATAGTTCATTTGATGGACTCCTTATTTCTTAATGCGTGTTTTTATTTTTTCACTCAACAAAATCAGCGGATTTTATATTACTCCAACATTAGAGGAAAATCGTTCGTCAGGGGAAAAATCATGGGTTTTATTTTTCCTAAAAAAATAATAAGTTCACACTGATTTAATGAAATTTTGCGTTAAATCTGTAAACAAATGAAAAAAAAAAAATTTTTTTTCGTGATCACTGAGTTGGGAGCGGCCATTTTCCTCCAAATATAGTACCCCTCCCTCCCGCCCCTTCCGCAGTGACGTCCGGTGCGGTAAGCCAGCGCCTTTCCCCCTTTCCCAACTAAAAAAATGGGACTACTAGAAATTGCAATCAACAACAATTATTGAAGATTTCCCGAGGACTTCACCATTGAAAAACACCGGCTAAGTGAAACTGACAATGCCCAGGCATGGGAGTGGATGCTGGGAAAACATCGGGGAAAAGTGAAAAAAAAAAAGTTTTTCCACCTTTCTGATTCCTGATCTCCAACGGGTTGGTCGTTGGATCGCCAACTTGAAGAGGGGGATTTGCCATCGAACTTCTGGCCAGAGAAAAAACCCGTAATATGTAGCCAAATTTTGGAGAAGAATGTTTTCAAGATGACTTGGATAATAGGCATTGGCAAACCCAGAACAATTGGGACTTATCAACAGCCATTTCCCCACCGTGCAATGTCACTAACCAGTAGGTGGCAGTAGTGTTCTTAAAAACTGGATGCCTTCCCGTAAAACACTTCACATGAAAATTATTTTAAAAATTTTTAAAAAAAGAAGATTTGGAAAAATATGAGAAATATGAAAAAAAAATTATTTGATCTTATCTATATAAGATCAGATCAATTACTTAAAGATAGATGAACGGATGGACGCTGAGACTTTATTGCTATTTCTTAGTTTTTGAAGCTATTTCTGCAGATATTGTACACTAATTCCATGTTCTTAGCACCTTTAAAATGATCTGTCTTTTTCACTTTCCTGCTCTATCCACTTAAAAACAGTTCATATAATAAGTTAACATTTCTTAAATTAAGTTTCCTTTCTCTTAATTGTAGCTGGTGAATGGATGAATACTGTTGTATGTTGGATAATCAAAGCTACAGCATGTAAAGTTAAATATTAAGACAGAGTATCAGGTCAGGCTAGAGATTTTTTTCTTCTATTTCAGGAATAAAGTTGTAACATTATGTGAATAAAGTCATCATTCAACAACCCGTTTCAGAAAGAAAGCTTGGAGCTCCGCCCAGCAGATGACGGCCGACCAGCTCCACCAATCAGCAACCAGAGTCCACTTTGACATCCTGCCCAGTTTGATGCTGCTGCTAAAAGATTTCCTGATTTGTCAAACCGATGCTAAAGTAGAACTTCACATGAAAGAAAGGGCTTCTGGTAAAAGTTGTCATAAAATACGACTTTATTCTCAAAATAGAAGAAAAGAAATCTCTTGCATGGCCCTAATACTCCGTCGTAGAGTTGAGATTTATCAAAGGTGGCGCTTTAGACTTTCAGACACTTAATGAAGCAGAGGGAGGCATACCTGCAATGTAGAACAACAAACTAAATTTGAATTCCTTGTGACTTTTTTTTTCCATGTGCTTCCATGTCTCCACAGACACATTTACGTGATCCCGGCCTTCACCTGGATTCTAACACTTGCTATTCTACTTGCTCACACAGTCGTTCAGCCGATCACTTCATTGCTCACCCTCCTGAAGGGAATTCTGCTCATTGTTACGGTAACTGGGATTCTCCTCATTCTTTTCAATCTTAGTTTGGCATTTTTCAAACTCAATGTTGTGCTGATAAAAGATGCTTCTTCCAGAGGAAGAACTGATGGGTTAAGCATGAGAATTATGATGATTACGGCGTTGCACTTTCAACCAAATGTAGACGTTGTTTCAACGTAGATTATTTCATCTTTTTAATGTTTTTGCAACCAATTTTTGCATGGTGGGAATTACTTGATGGACATTAACTCCATAAAAGGAATTTCTCTCAGTGTCGTTATTTTATTGCTGTCCACTAAAGGGTGTCTCCATTGATTCTTAAGCAGAGTTCTGTTGTTCTGGGATATATCTGCCTCTTCTGAGACACATACACTATATTGCCAAAAGTATTTGCTCACCCATCCAAATTATTGGAATCAGGTGTTCCAATCACTTCCATGGCCACAGGTGTATAAATTCAAGCACCTAGGCATGCAGACTGTTTTTACAAACATTTGTGAAAGAATGGGTCGCTCTCAGGAGCTCAGTGAATTCCAGCGTGGAACTGTGATAGGATGCCACCTGTGCAACAAATCCAGTCGTGAAATTTCCTCGCTCCTAAATATTCCACAGTCAACTGTCAGCTGTATTATAAGAAAATGGAAGTGTTTGGGAACGACAGCAACTCAGCCACGAAGTGGTAGGCCACGTAAACTGACGGAGCGGGGTCAGCGGATGCTGAAGCGCATAGTGCGAAGAGGTCGCCAACTTTCTGCAGAGTCAATCACTACAGACCTCCAAACTTCATGTGGCCTTCAGATTAGCTCAAGAACAGTGCGCAGAGAGCTTCATGGAATGGGTTTCCATGGTCGAGCAGCTGCATCCAAGCCATACATCACCAAGTGCAATGCAAAGCGTCGGATGCGGTGGTGTAAAGCACGCCGCCACTGGACTCTAGAGCAGTGGAGACGCGTTCTCTGGAGTGACGAATCGCGCTTCTCCATCTGGCAATCTGATGGACGGGTCTGGGTTTGGCGGTTGCCAGGAGAACGGTACTTGTCTGACTGCATTGTGCCAAGTGTAAAGTTTGGTGGAGGGGGGATTATGGTGTGGGGTTGTTTTTCAGGAGCTGGGCTTGGCCCCTTAGTTCCAGTGAAAGGAACTCTGAATGCTTCAGCATACCAAGACATTTTGGACAATTCCATGCTCCCAACTTTGTGGGAACAGTTTGGAGCTGGCCCCTTCCTCTTCCAACATGACTGTGCACCAGTGCACAAAGCAAGGTCCATAAAGACATGGATGACAGAGTCTGGTGTGGATGAACTTGACTGGCCTGCACAGAGTCCTGACCTCAACCCGATAGAACACCTTTGGGATGAATTAGAGCGGAGACTGAGAGCCAGGCCTTCTCGTCCAACATCAGTGTGCGACCTCACAAATGCCCTTCTGGAAGAATGGTCAAAAATTCCCATAAACACACTCCTAAACCTTGTGGACAGCCTTCCCAGAAGAGTTGAAGCTGTTCTAGCTGCAAAGGGTGGACCGACGTCATATTGAACCCTATGGATTAGGAACGGGATGTCACTTAAGCTCATATGTGAGTCAAGGCAGGTGAGCAAATACTTTTGGCAATATAGTGTATATGTATACGTGTGTCTATATATATATATATATATATATATATATATATATATATATATATATTAGGGATGGGACGATTTATGAAAACCGTCAGAACCGTTCGGTTCGACTGTCTCGGTTCGGTTTGCGTGTGTTTCGTTCGGTTCATGCGCTGCTCCTTTTTCTCATAGGGGAAGCGTTTACACTCCAGAGCAGAAGGTGGCGGCACTGAGACCAAAGCCAAACACCAGTAGTAAACAAGAAGAAGAAGAAGCGAAGCAGCGTAGCCGGGTGTAGCAGAAAATAATCAGTTGTTGTGGAGAATTGTGTGGGTATGGCGAGTGGGAAAGAACAGGAGTTGGAAGACGCGCCAGCAGCACTTTATAGGTCTGCTGTATGGGACCACTTTGCATTTAGAGTGACCTACGATGACGGCGGAAAGAAAGCGGTGGATAAAAGTGCAACAGTGTGCAAGCATTGACAACATGACCAACATGTCAGGCTAACCCCGAAATCCCTCATACTCCGTCAGCGCTCCGCCCCGCTGCGCTCCAGACCGGCTGCTCAAAGCAAAGCCTACAGCCTCCACTGTGGCTCCCGTCCGCTCCGCTCTGAGTCCCTTGGAGATGGTAGAGAGCATGCACGAGATGATTAAATTCAAAGCAGCAAAACATGTGGAAATGATCCAGGGTTTCCGCGGATCATTTAAAATAATTACAATCTATTATTTTTGGGGGATTTTTTCATTAATTTCATAAATTTTAATGGGATTTCAGTGTAACAATCAACATATACCGAATCGAACCGAACCGTGGATTTTGTGAATCGTTCCACCCTTAATATATATATATATATATATATATATATATATATATATATATATATATATATATATATATATTTCTACTATTAAATATTTTTCTCACAAATATTTTCAGAAAAATTCTGCCTGTATTTTTAAAGGTCAGAAAGTCATTTTGGGCCCCCCTCTGTATGGGCCTGTTTGTCCCTCCCCCGGCGGGCGTGTCTTTAGCCGATTTCCTTATTGAGTCACTGATGTCATTCAATAAATGGCTAGTTGTAATATCCCCCTGAGGTGTATCATAGTCTCTCTGTGACAGCCTTATATTGCTGTTGTCATGGTTACTGGGACATGTGGCATTTTGGCTTTTTAAACTACTTTATGTAGTAATTTGTAGACGGCCGCGGGGCGTTGCAAACAGTTCTGCATTTGACTTTCTGCAGATAAGGATTTCTAAAGGACAGGTGTGCAGTAACACGTCTACGTAACGTTTTATGTGAGATTTCTTCCTACCACCAACTTTTAGTGGGAAAGCTGCACACTATTTTAAATACACGCCGCCGCTGTAGTTCCTCTTTGTTAGATGCGATGCAGCTGGTGTTACAAACATTTATCTATGGGGAGAATTTACAGTTTGCTTCAAGATCAATACAATATAGTCAATTAATACAATAAGTCTGACACAACATTTACATCAATCGCACATGTCTGGTAAAGTGTTACAACAGCTTTACTTACAGCCTTTTCAATGTTGCCGTGCACAGAGAAAATAATAAATAAATAAATCAGCCCTGCTGTGTCATTAAAGCAGCACCCTGAGTTCACACTGTGCTCCACTGGCCTTCAGCACAAATCCTCCTGGATTTTGTAGAAAAGCGGTGTAACACTGCAGAGAGTTTCTCTGACTTTGTTGTTTCTGCAGTTTTTCCCCATCATCCCTGAGAGACTCGTCTACCTGTGCACTAAACTTCTCTGTGATGCAAACAGCAGCAGACAAACCCAACATAGTGAGGCACAGCTGTTAAATACGGCTTCCATAGCTTAAAACCTAACAGCGAACTTTATTTAACAATCCCAGCATACTACTCAGTCAAAATGGCATAAGGTGATAAAAAGAAGAGTTTTTGATTAAATTGGTCTGTAGCAGTTCTACCTGTAAAGTTCCCTCTATTAACAGGACACTATTGTTCTTTATGAAGTACTAAAACATTTCTAACAACTTTTTTATTGAATATATTGTGCTTATTTTTTACCAAAAATGGTCTGTTTGTTATAAAGTTCTGTTTTACTGTTTTAAAACCAACCTGGTCCAGTTTCACTTTCCTGGGATAAACTAACATAAAGTACTGCATTCACTGCAAAAACTGATCAACAAATAAGGAAGAACGACTTAAAACAGGCATATTTGCCCTTAGATGACCTCGCAATGGAGTGAATATTTCTGCTTTTAAATCAGACATTTAGACATTATGCACTTTAGACTTAGACAAATGTTATTTTTTCACAATGTATACAAAAAGGACATTTATTTCCATATAACTTACAACAATTATAGAGCTGTTTTATCTTCTTTGAAGCTTAAACCATCTTATTCCATTCCTAAATTGACTTACCTTCAGCAATCAAGAGAATAAACACTAATTTAAAGAAAAAATGACCTTTAATTTCATTTTAGTTGTTGCAGAAGGAAAATCTACATTGTGATCCTGCCACTAAAATATTGCATGCAACCAGCTCACTTTGAAGTTGTTTTCTCCACCTGTTTCTAGTTTATTCTATCTATGAACAGCTTTTCTATGAAGGGAACAGAGCGTTGTTAGATGATAATAGTGATCAGAAAGCATCCTGATGACGAATGAACACAGCAGAGGGACAAAGTGGTGAAGAAACTCAAAACTGGCTTAGGTTGCTGTATAAAAGAATATTCTAACCATTGAATTTTTACAAACGTTTTTCAAGCAGTCATTTAAAAATGGATAAATAAAAGGTAAAATGTACCAATCTACAGCCACCCCTTACAGGCCGGACAAGGTGAGCTTTAATCAGGGAAATGACCAAGTGGTTCATGGTGATTTTGGAAAGCTGCGAAAATTAACAGTCCTGACTTTTAATCATATTCTCCACTTATGGAATATTAGTAAAAACAGATACGTTTTTGTTAATAGAAGGAAATAAAGTCTTTTTTGCACAGAAATAAACTACCAAGTCTAAAAAACAATGAACTTGATGCAAAACTCTGGAGTAGAAACTAACAAGGAACATAAATCCAAAGCACCAACCTATGGAGTGAATTATGTTCCATCATTCTTGCAAGCAAATAATGCATTTTGTGCTTTGAAATTAAGAAGTTTGTCAAAGTTTCAACTCTGGAGCAAAGAGGAGGTCAAGAAAACAGCTTAAAACTAGATTGGATGATCCAGATTAAACCGCCAGCAGGACAGAAAGGAGTGATTTGAATTAAACACAGTTTGTAGTTAGAAAGAGCCGGTCAAAGACAAGGCTAAAGCTAATGACAGTTTTTACACACACTGCAACCTGATATGTGCTGCCAATTAGTCTATGAATTTGAACCGGTTTAGTTGAATGCTAATCACTATAATACTTTCTG